ACTAGTGTGAGTAAAATGGACTCACACATATGCTAACCTTCTTTATTGTGTTTAATATGTAAAGGACAGTTGGGGGAATCAGCTAACATTACTGCGATAACAGGCCAGCTGATTACCAGCTGAGCTCTGAGGAATATGTCGATTATACTGGTTTATTTTTCTCCCCATAAAGCTTTGTTAGCACTGGCCGGTCTCTGGTGTCAGGTGGGTTTTCCTCCAAATTGAATTAATGATTCATCATGTTACTGTCATCGTAGGAAACAGCAGCCATTGCTGTGCGCCACCGAATCCTGTCACATATCAAAACGCTTTCTGTGAAAAAGGCTCGTTTAATTTATTGCACATTAGCACGACTGAATTTGAAAGCGAAGAATAACTGTGAAAGTTACTGTCATTTCTAAAGCAAATAAGATTTTTTTGAGTGATCTGATTGGTTGAAACCTCCGATGTTTATCTAACTGAAGAAAAACAACAGTCAGACCAAGAGTTCACAGCTCTGTTGCAACTCAGTGATGGAAATCTTGCAAGTGTACTGACCTGGACCCCTCCAATGTAAAACCTCCTGCTCTTCCTCCCTTTCCTCTTCCTCCTCTGCTCCGCTGTGCGTCGACGCAGGCTCCTCCCCTTCCACGTCTTTATCATCCGGGCCTCCTCCCGAGTCCTGCGTCCTGGGCTCTAGACGCACAACAGAAAGACTAGCGATTAAAACAAACACCCTGATTGAAACCCGTGTGTGTGTGTACGTATGTCTGGAAGCCGTTGTTCCCGTCTGCTGATCAAAGGCCTCCCTCGCCGTGTAACACAACCCCTCGCCATGCAGAGATGGACCCTTTGATTTTCATTACAACTCAGGAGAATCAAAGACTCAACATCTTCACCTTCATCGCTGCTACTTTTCTCGCTCTCCCAAATCTTCTCCCGGCAGCTTTTCCATTTCCTCCTCATCCACCCTTCCCTCCGCTTCTCTTTCGCTGAACGTAGGTGGGTCTCCGTCTTATGTGCTCCTCTTTTCCTCCTCTATCTTTCCATCTCCTCCCGCAGGCCTGTCACCCTCAGCAGAGACTGAGGCTGGCTGTGTTCCTGTAATCACTGCTGATATCCCTGCCATTGATCAAGCTGATTACACAGCCTCCTGCTCACTGATCAAAGATGTGCGCTTCTGCAGGTGGTGTGTGTGTGCATGCTTCAATACGAGTATCTGCATGTGTGTGTGTGTTTATCCAGAGATATGTGAACCCTGAACTTTGCCTGTGCAGCCAGTATCGGGCAGTTCATCGGGCCGCTCGGTCC